AAGACTGGTTTTAGGCTGCTAATTTGTGAATTAAGGGATTTCTGTTCTGTATGAAAACTGCTCTGCCACAGGCTTGAAGCAGATAGTAAATCTGAAGAAATCACTTTAATCCTCTTGGCCTCATTAGCCACATGAAAACTCTGAATATATAGCTATTAATATTAAAGTTAGAATTTTAAAGTTGTGAGATGTGCAGAATTCTAATAACGAAGGCCATGAAAGCACCTAAGACTGGCATAATTGTTATGCTGAAACTTTTGAGGGTTGTGTTGGATTGTTCAAACACATAAAGTACAGTCATCCTTGCAGAGCAGGCAGGAGCCAGGCAGTACCACATCATAACCTACTACGCTGCACATGAGACAGCAGCGTGCCCTTGCAGCAGTCAGCCCCTCACACCCCAGGCAGTATTAGTAAATGTGTCGCCAGCAGGTACAAGAAGTGATCCTTCCCCTCTGTTTGGCACTTGTAAGACTGTATCTGGAGTACCGTGTCCTGTTTTGGTCTTTTCATTGCAAAATAACACTCTTTCTGGAATGAGTCTATGCAAGAGTGACCAAGAGTGTCAGGGGGCTGGGGAACATGACATATAAGTTGATGCTGAGAGCTCAGCCTGATCAGCTTGGAGCAGAAAAGGCTAATAGGAAACTGTTGCTCAGTTCAGCTATGTAAAGGGATGATACAGAGAAGATGGAGGTAGACTTTTCTCAGAGGTGCATGATTATTGGATGAGATGGAACAGAAACAAGTTGGAACATGGAAAATTCTGATGACTGATTAGCATTTTATTTGTCACAAGATAAAGACTGCAACAGTTGTGGAAACACCATGTTGTCCTTGGAGGTGATCAATAATCCACTGCACATGGCCCTGAACAGTCTGGTATAAAACCTGATGTCTTGGAGTAGGGGCTTGGTCTAGATGACATCTGGACATTCCTTCCAAACTAAATTACAATTCTATGGTTCTATACAGGGGTACTACCATCTACTTTATAAGGATTACTGCAGTTAGAAAGCTAAATAAATTTCACAGAATCACAGAATCATCTAGGCTGGAAAGGACCCTGGAGATCATCTAGTCCAACCGTTTGCCTAGCACAGTTCCCACCTACAGCATATCCTTAAGCTCTAAATCGACCCTACTCTTGAAACCTCCAGGGACGGGGACTCCACCACTTCCCTGGGCAGCCCATTCCAACGCCTAACAACCCGTTCTGTAAAGAAATGCTTCCTAATATCTAGTCTGAACTTTCCCTGTCGCAACTTGAGGCCATTCCCTCTTGCCCTGTCGCTTTCTACTAGGCTGAAGAGGCTCAAACCCAGCTCTCTGCAGCTTCCTTTCAGGTAGTTGTAGAGGATGGTAAGGTCTCCCCTCAGCATCCTCTTTCTTCCCCCTTTCTAGCATTTTTGAGTACAATCCTTCAAGTACCCAGCAAAACCTTGCCACATGCCCAGCAGAAGGATTTTCCCCTTTTATTCCCACATGAACCTTGTGCCTCCTACGTAACTGTTGTTCCTGCTCTCCTAGTTCAACTTTGAGTGTTCTGTGTCTTGTCTGGCTTAACATCAAAATGCTGCTTAGAAATTTGCACTTGGCAAGCTATCTTAAGCATTGCCAGTGCTTCATGACCTTCACTCCAGCAGACAGGCTCATCCTTCAGCATACACTGCATATTGTGGTGCCCCAGTACTGACCATTCCCCCCCAATTCTAAGGTAGGAGGCATGTTCTAAGGTACAGCAACATTTCAGCCTGAATGGGTCGTAAGAATAACTTCATCTAGCATCAGTGAGTAGACACAGTACTCCAGGTGTGGCATCATCACTTTTCAGGCTGCACCTGGAGTCCTGCCTGGCCTCCACAATTCAAGAAATATGCAGACTGACTGGATAGGGTCCAAAGGAAGTCCACAAAGATGACCAAAGGGCTGGAGAACCTGACCTATGAGGAAAGACTGAAGGAGGTCTTTTCTCCCTAAACAAGAGAAGGCTTGGGGGGACCTCACCACAGTATTCCAGTACCTAAAAGGTGACTGCAAAGATGGAGGCTCTCTTCACAAGGAGCTACATGGAAAAGACACGGGGCAATGAGTACAAGTTGCACTGGGAGAGGTTTCATCGCTATATAAGGAATCTTTAACAGGGAGAACAGTCACTGGAACGACCTTCCCAGGGATGTGGTGGAGTCCCCATCACTGGAGGTTTTCAAGAGATGATTGGACAGAGTGCTAGGTGATCTCCTCTAGGCTCCATTTCCCATGAAACTGTTGGACCAGATGACCTTTAAAGTGCCTTCCAGTGTGGGCTGTTATACAGTTCTATGATTCTGAGTGCAACTCTTTCACCCATTTGTTGTTCTTGGTTGCAAGTGCTGCCATCACCACACCTCACACTTCAAGTCACAATCCAGCAGACCAAAGGTTTTGCCTGTACCAAGAACATCTTTTTGCCATACAGTATCTTCAGAACAACAGAAGGAAAAAAGGCCACGTTCTAGAAGACTAGAGGTGACATCCTACTGGCACATTTGAGTAATTTGCATAATCAGCAACTAATGGCCAAAGAACTTGGTCTCATTATCATCTTGTGTAAGCTCAGACATTTGTGAAATCGTTTTTCATTCCATTGAAATTAATAAATTTAAGGCATTTTGCAAAATGGCTGCTGTACAACTATAGACAGTGAAACCTGGCTTCTTACTGTACTATTGCTAAGAAACATGAAATCTGTTGAAAGGTGACCCCAGGAACTTACATGAGTGAAGAAAACCAAAAATTAACATGGAAAACTTTTGCCATGTATCTTGCATTTAATCTTGTGTTCCTCTTTATTGTCTTCTTTTGGTGGAAATTTCTTTGAATGAAAATTTTTCCTGGTAGATCCCTTTTAACTCTTTATTGGATGGTTCTTCTACCTCAAATAGACATTGAGAAAATACATCAAGAAATAAATATAATTTCCTTTTTTCTTCTTTTGTGAAAAGTCTTCCGTATTTGTGATGGCCTTTTGCTCCCCACAGCATCTGATTTCAGAGGAATATTGCAGGATAACATCCTACAGTAGGTCTATGAACACATTTATCCTCCAGACCAGTTTTGTTCTGTAGTGACTCCTGTATTGATCTTTCCCCTGTGAGGTCCCATAGACTGGTTCATTATCCCTGACTTACGGAATATCCGTTTCCATGGGGCAGTATCTCTGGCTCACAAAACCTCCGCTCCCCCGGCCCCGGGGGGCGCCGCCTGGAACTCCGCGCCGCGCGTCCCTGGCCAGGAGTTTACTTACGAGCGGGATGCCCTCGCTGGCTGGGCGGTTTATTCGGGCGTCGTTAGTAAATACGCTGGGAGGTAGTTGTGTATTAGCACAGAGAACGTTCTTGAATGTAAAAATTACAACAACTCCAAATTTCTTGAAATGGCCGATACTGGGGGTTACGAATTTGAAGAAGCAAATTTAAAGGCCCACCATCAAATTAAGTTTTTAGGCAAAGACTGAATGCTTCTTTGCCTCCCGGTATTCTGAATAATTTCTAGATATACTGTTGTGAGCAAGGAAAAACTTTGCTCCATAATTCCAGTATGTCCATTGGACAGCACTCTTACAGTGGAGGGTATGGTTATAGTTAGTTGTCTGAGGGTTTTTTCTTCTCTTTTGGCTTTTGTAGAACACTGGATGTGTACACAAGGACTGGAGGGAGCAGTTGTAGGATCTGAAGTACGTGGGCCTTCTTAGAACAGAATAGTTAGTGCTGTTGTTCTGATTCAAATACAGTGACAAATGTTTCATCACGAATAAAATGTATTTATTACTTTGTCCGAATGAATAACTAACAGAATAGGTAGTTTTAAACTGGGCAAAACAATTTAGGCTTAAACCATGTTGGTTTGATTCTTAAACTAGATAAAAATACTTGTAATGAATGTAGTAGTAGTTTTCCCCATCTTGCTAATACTTAAGTGTCCAACAATCTTAGTGGATTTGTCCTCTGTTTTGAGGTAGGGCAATGTTGTCATCATCCTTACTCCTCAGAGAAATGAAGCAGGGAAAGCTTTTGCTGGAATCTGTAAGCTGCTCAGTAGGTGTTGTGCTTTGGAAGAAAAAGGGAAATGGGAGGATTATGTAGGCAAATACTTAGTCTAGACCATGAAGGGATACCACCAGGTGATTCTACTGTAGGTTACCCGGGAGTGTTTTGGCAATTTAAAAATATGCTATAGATATGATGGGTTGAGTTCATAGATCAGGTAGATACGCAGGTTTGTTGAATGTCTGTTTTCAGGTAGTAATTACAGTTATTTATGCAAACTGTCTAAACCAGACTTTGTAAGCAGATTTGGCCAGCTGTAAGATGTAGCAAGGAACAACTGATTCATTACTGACTGTTTCATCGGCTCTATTTTGTGTGATCAACATCACTTTCCAAAGATTGTGGATTAAATTCCTTATAGTTCAGATTATATCTTTCAGAGTTATGGTCTTCCATAATCTGTATGTTTCTCAGGTGCAGGTGATACGTATTTAACTTACTGATTCTCCACACAAATGATTAGCAATGATTTTCATTACTATTCAGCTGCTTGTAGGTTTGCAAGACCTTTAAAAGTGGACAGACACATTTATTATGTCTCTTTATTTTGATCACGTGATTAAATAAATTGTTCTTTTGAGCTCTGAGAATTAGAATACATGTACCAGCCTCTTCACTCACTTTAATTCTTTATATTTTTCTCAAGGTGAGTTGAGTAGGTTGGTCATTCTTCAAGAATAATATGCCCTGGATTTGTGAGAACAACTGTTATGTACTTTGGAAGGTGTTGTATGGACCTGTAACAGAAGCTTGGGAAGGCCTCTGTAGATTCTACCACAGGTGTCTTCTGTAAAGTCAAAGAGGAAATATGCAGTGCAGGCAGTCAAACTACAACTCATAAGTTTTATGACTCTAAACTTGTAATTGAACTACAGCTTCTAAGTCTGTATGAATGATTCATCCTGCTTTTCTAATCTTTATCTTCAGCACAGACTTTGAAGAAGCCTTGCATTCCGGTGGAAACTGCAGCAACGCTCCTGATGTTGCAGATACTAATGAGTGTTGAAGTGAAGTCACTGAGGTCTCTGATATGCAGAAAGTTATCACATGCATATATACATGCGGATTTTGCCTAAAAGGGTATAATTCATACTTTTGAAGATATCTAGAAACAAACACTGATTAAAATATAATAAGAGTTGGTATTTGGGGTTTAATCCAGTACTTTGGTTTCTGGGCCCTCGAGAGTCTTTGCCTTGCTGTGATTTATTCCTTCAGTGAAGAATTTACAGTCTTTTGAAAGTCTTATACACAGATCCTTAACTTCAATGTGGTAGTGTTTTTAGCTCAAACTGATTGCCCTGCTACTGTGCAACATCAGTTAATACAACTCAGCAGTTGCTCATCTTTAGTGGCCTCAAAACTAATTTGTAGGATGACTTCTTTTGCTTGAGCTAAGCAGTCTGTAGGAGTCTGCCAGTGTTGCTGTAGTTTGCTTTGCAGTGAGGACAAAGCCTTTCTTATTCAGTGCTTTTGGGATTATTTTGACAGACTGTTAGCACATTTTAAAGCTGGAATATGTTTTTCCCACACACCTAAAGAAACTTTGATACATACCTGAGACTGTACACTTCTGTATAATATTGTAGCCAGTTAAGAACCATGAAATGTCCTGGGATGTACTTCATCTATAAACATGACAAGATTAATGTATTTTATATATTCACTTTGTATATGTTAAGGCCTGTTTAAAAAAAAATTAAAAATATGTATTAAATGTTACTTGTGGATCACTGAGCACATGCATCCTGTTCTGCTTTTATTTCTGATGTTTAAGGGCAACTTACTAATTTTTGCAGTAGAAAATCAAGTTTTTTATCTTCTGCCATCTTTCCCTGCCTCAGATAGAGAACTGTTTGTGTGCTACTGTTAGAAACTAGGGAAATCTATCTTGAAGTAGAAGGTTGTTCATCTTCAAAGTATTAAAGAAACCTTGGTATCGTTTAATATATTTGACTTGATTAGTTTAGAAAGCTTGGGGAAGGTGATTGATTCAGCACTTGCTTCAGCACTTTGCCCTTCATCACAAAGGATTGGTTATCTCTAGGAAAAATAGCTGCTGCTTTTTACTTACATGGTGAAGGGAAAGGAGGACCAGAGAAATCCAGGATCACCTTAAATGCACAATGAGACTTAACAGCTTGTTCTCATAGGTTAGACTTGTGTTTGTCATCATTACCCCCAGACTAATTAACTGCTAAACACAGGAAGTCAACTGTGCTGTCCCGGTGTTGTTATGTGAGGTTGATGGAAGGAAAACAAGCAGCCTGGTGGAATTTTGAAGCTGATAAGGAGTTAAACAGTAGTCAATCCTGATTTATCCATAAACAAAATACCTTGTTTGTTCATGTGTCCTGTACTTGCTGCTGTCAGTGTATGCTTCTATTTGGCCTCATATGGCTAACTGGTGAGTTGTTAGGACTTCCGAGCTGGTACCAAAAAATCAGGTCTTGCTAGCTGCATCCAGTATTACACAAATTCAGTTGCACTGTAGGTATTCACAAAGATGATGTAATAAAAAACACTCACTCGCTAGAAGGAATCCTCTTGCATGATTATTCATAGTATGGATCACAGTAGTGTACTTTTGAATGACCACACTAGATGTGTTAGGTGGTTGCAGCAGGGTAAGCTGTGGAACAGATAAACTACTGTTAATTGTCTCTGATTTGCTCAGTGATAGAGCAACTATGTTTTAAGCCAACCAGCTATACTGTTATTTTTGAATTGTCTTTCATTTATATCATTAGTGAAAAATAAAATTAGAAGGAAAAAAAAGCAGAATAGTAGGAGAATGTGTCCTTTATCCAGGCAAATGCAGGATACTTTTTTACTTAAAAACTTGTGGATTGTAGTTTGTTTCATGTGAAGTATCTTTTTTCTTAAAAAAAAAAATCTATAAAAAAATCCATGCAAAATGGAATGGAAGTCTGCAGAACTCAAGGTTTTTTGAGAATTCACATACTTCCCCGATACTCACAAATGTCAAACAAATTTTCATGTGGCATAAAGTAAGATGGTTAAATGTAATATTACTGTTCTAATGCTTTTCATTTAAATGGAAGCTGTTCCCAGCAATCTTGAAGTCTTTCTGGTTATGATTTCTCAACGTTTGGCTAAGTTTCACAGTGAATCACCAAAAATAGACATACAAATGTCAACAGATAATACTAGGTGCATGTACAGTAAATCTGTGGTTTCTTTAATTTCTCATGTTGTCTAAAGTAAGCTTTGTTAAAATACCTTGATACCTGGTGCCTGCTTTCAGTTGTTTTAGAAGCGCATGTTCTACTTCTGAAGTACAGTGTGATTTTCATAGTTCAGATGTTATTCTTCATATTGCAGTGTCAAATGATATGCCAGGTTTTTGATGCTTTAATTGTAATAATTAAGAATAAAAACTTCCACAAATAATATTATTTTTTGAGACCATGTAACAATCCAAGCTCATAGGACCTAACATCTCTTGTAGATTGGTGTTTATAGAAAGCTCAATTTATTTTGCCTTAATTGTGGGCCTGGAAAACCTTTAAGAATGCCCATAACTGTTCAAAAACCCAAATGTTGATTGATATGTATCATCAGAGTTTACCTGTTGCATGGGTTGTATGCAGTGCTACTTTGTCTTTCTTGCAGTTTTTCTAAAATGTTGCTAGTTCCTATGAATCTCTTTTCCTGGGTATTTCTGAATATTGAGAACAAAAGTTCTTACTATATTTGGGCAGAGTTTTACAGGTTTCAGTTTAATCTGTTTTTCTCCCTCCACACACCTGTTAATTGAATGGCTCTACATATTTCCTCCTGAAAATAAGTTTTAAAATGATGGATGAATCTGAAGGATTGACAATATTGACATTAATTTGAATTTTAATGTAACTTCTGCAGTAAAGCATTCTGAAGATGGAACTGAATTTACTTGTGAACATTTATATTTTAAAGCTGCTGTTACAAAGTCACAGTAACTTCTTCAAACATCTGTTGTTTGACCAGAAGCAATGCATTGTTTAGTCCAGGAACATAAACTGTAAATGTTTGTAACTTTTTGTAGAAATAGCATTTTTATTGCTATTTATCCTACTATTCAGAATATGGTCACAGAAACTCCTCAAAGTTAAGCAACTCTGTGAGAGAGCAGGAGTGGGTACTGCTTGTTAATTGTCTGCATGTATACTGGCACACTTAACAGTTGCTCGTGGAGAAATCTCTTAACATAATCCTGATTCTTGTGATGCTTTGTTTAAATTTAACCTGTGTCCTATGGTTTGCCTATTTTTATTTTTATTTTTTTATTTTCCTCTGAGACACACATACAGAACTGGCAACTAAGTGGATGCACCAGTACAGATTAGTCTAACCCACTTCTCTGTAGGACAGAAATGTTATTTGCTGGTGGTGGCAACTCCATGAGATCTATTAGTTATTGTGATACCAAAAATTACAAATGTTACAGGTTCAACTGATACTTGCTGAAAGTGTCACAAACTGAACAACCAGAAGTGGTATTCCTGGTATTTTACGTTATAGTTACTATATGAAGATGTTGAAATGTATTGGAAATGAGAACGCGTTAAAATACACAGCTGTATGTTATGCTGATAGTCAAATGTTCATTCAAATACAACTCTACCTTTTGTTTTAGCATAAGGAGGAAAGGATCAAATGCAGTTCAAAGGTATCTCTGTAAGAATTGTCTGTACTGTTATGCCATTCTTACAAAGTAGATCAATCATATATGTCCTTTGGTTTTTTTTTTTACAGGAGAACTATTACCCCTCTGCTTTTTACTGACTACCTGAAATTCAAAGTGTTTGTCTCTTGCAAAGCAAAACTTCTTTTCATTTTAAAAAAAAAAAAAAAGATGTCACTATCTTGCAGGGCATACTGTCCTTTGTCATTAGCCTTTCCTGAATTCTGGTTTTGGACAGTGATTCAATTGTTTGAAACTATGTCACTGAGTAATTTTTAGGCAGAATCTGAGATACCATCTCTTGATTATTCTGTGATTCAGTTGTTTGGAACTATGTCACTGAATAATTTTTAGGCTGAGTCTGAGATACCATCTCTTAATTCTGATACTTCCAACAGGGTTCTTTGCATGGCACCTTTGTACTTGGGATGTTGTATTTGTGTAACAGTGGTTGGATGTCTGTTTTTACGAATTTTTTTTTAAGATTCTTTCAAGTTCTAAATGCCACTGGTTTTTAGAAAAAAGTTAAATTTTTTTTAAACTTTCTTCTCGATGCATGTTCTATGCCCATTGTGCACATATTCACATTCCTGGATTGTGTGTTTCTTTGCTTGACTTTATTCATAGGTTAATACATCCTGTTGGGACTGGCACCAGGTTTAGGGTAGGTTTAGATTCTGAGATTTTTTGCCTGAAACGAAGGTCAAAGTAGTTTGATATGTAACTTTTCAAAAACGGCCTTGTCATTATGCACTCCAAGCTTTTATGCAGTGTGTTGTCATTATTGTTTCTGTGGCTTTTGCTTTTCTGAGCAATCTTTGATTTAATGATACAGGTAACTGTATTGCACGTTATGCACATAGAGCTGCTCACAGTAGTAGCTACAAAATATTTTTTACATACACTGACATTTTCATTGGTGTTATACCTGAGAAGTAGTTTGAAATACTTTGTCTACAGGAATAAATTTTGATGACGTAGGAACTTTAAGTGATTTTAGTAATTGCAGTTTTTTGACTTGATGTTACTTAGAAATGGAAAAAGTTGTCCTTGTGTTTTTTTCTGCATTAGTAATATACTTTCAAACCAAGATAGGTTTACAGACAGTTGTAATCTTTAGCATGATTATTTTTAGAGTAATTATCTTGATCTGAAGCATTTTAATCATTAGGCAAAAAAAAAGTTTAAGAATTTCACATTGCTATTTCAAATGATGTATTTTTTGCAGTGAGGACATGTGAGTGTGTGCAGCAGAATAAACTTTGTAAATGTATTTCTGAGGTGGTTTGTGTTTAAGCTATTATTTTTGCCCTGTATTTGTATGCCTTCCTAGT